TACAGATTTCATGTACTCAAGCTTTCAGTGAAATGCATATACACGAAATTTTTGACGATGTTGTTAAATCAATGAATAATGAAAATGTTTGTCACACGACTTCTGCGTGCTTACCGACAGACAAATCTCACAACTTTCGCTAAGTAACAGATCCGTGTAATATAAGCACGGTAGATGAACGACTTATATCCAATAAGAGATATATAAATGGTTTATGTCGCGGGGTAAAGCTGGTGATCGGCGTGTGCCGAGATCAACTTGTGACCTCAAAGTGTCACCGCTAGGCCCCGACAAGTGAGCCTAATTACACAAATATAGATATTTGTAGATCTCGGTTTCAGGGTGAGGATTTTTGATACAGACACGCACAGGACGTAAGTCTCTCTCCGTCAACTATCAGGCACTCGCGCCGCGGATCGTGTGGGGACGGACAGGAAGCGCCTTACTGTGATGGAATGGTTATACCCGAGGTCCTGTTACAGATTTCATGTACTCAAGCCTTCAGTGAAATGCATATACACGAAATCTTTGTTTTTGGAGAGGAGACGTTTATATATGATATGATAAGTGTACAATACATCACCTACGTAAAGCGGTGTCAGTGTCTCCCATGGAATACCAGAGTTATCCCCACGGCGCCAATAATTATGCTAGGTCGAAAATATAATGCAACTTTTTGTGTATTCATTCAATTCTTTTTACATTCGCAAAATTAAAGTGAAATAATTAAATATTCTATTATTACGAGGAACATGTATCCTCAAGCAGAGAGAGAGATATTGGATACTGTTTCTTCGCCCTCCAATATTTTATTTGTGCAAGAAGTAGTTTCAATGCAAAAAAAAAGTATTCGGTTTTATCTTGAAATTATGGAAAGCTATTTTAGTCACATGACATTTTACAGAACTTCAGAATTTCGTAGAAATGACAACATCCTTCCAGAATAAAGCATTTCTCTTATCTTATCTACAATCAAATGCATCATTCAAATATAATAATACATGGGTTAAAAAAGATTTATATCGAAATGTTTAGAGACCAACAATTAGATATATCAATTTCCATTATTCCTTTAATCCAATGAAAGTTTTATTGTTTACATTACTCTTGAAGTGACGAGGATTTCATCTGAGCATGCTCTTTAGCAAAATTGCTAAATTTTCCTCACCAAATTTAAAATGATATATTTCACCGCTTATACTAATCTTTTTAAAGATAAAAATCGATTTTTAAAGTAGGCATGAGTATTCGCAGTGGAAATACCATGACATTAATAATTCACCATTTTTAATATGCCTATCCTATAGCGAGAATTCAGGTGAAGTTTGTTCCTATTTTGTCTGTCCATAATTTCCAGTGCACAAAATTATAAATAGTTCTAGAGATTTTAATTATTCAGAAGAAAATTTGAAAAACCACCTGAACTTTTCATTGATCAAAGCAATATGAACAAAATATTAAACTTCAAAACATGCATAATTTATTTTGTTGTTAGTCGGAAAGTGTTTCAAAAAGGAGAATATATACAGTGAATAATAAGTCAATTCTTCAGAATTTCTTTTCAGTGAATTATGTTGGGTGTTCCGGGGATTAAGTTTTCTGTAAAAATTTATGCAAACTAATTATGCATAAGAACTTAGGCATAAACTTTGCTGTTGCACCAAACAATAGCGATTTTTTTGGAAAATTAATATTTCTTTTAAAAAAAGATGAGAATATGATACCATCTTCAACAAAAGGATTAAAGCTAAATTTCCCGTGTGAATTTCTTCTTCTAACGTAAATGTATTTATTCTGGAGGAGATTAATGTAATCGGTATTATTTAATATCGTCAAGAGAAAAATGACATGCTATAACCTCTATCTCTGTGTGAAAAACATCAATTAACTTCTTAACACTGACTGCACTCTCGCCAGGTAGATAAGGTGTGCATCGCGCTCTTGAGAGACTTATAGCTAATCAGAATAAAAAGATCATCCAAATGGTTATAATGCTGATGTACGACTTTAATTTGACGACCAGAACCTACCGGTATCTCCTTCTATTAAAAGCAAAAAGAACAACATAGAGGCCATGAAAGAGTAAATAATTTGGGGGTGTTGTTGTCATCAATAATTTTAAGTAGAATTGAATCTTGACGTAAATTTTTTTCATAAAAATTAAAAGTTCAATCCAATTATTATCAAATCGTAAATAATTGTATTAAAGGTTATACGTTAAATGAGCTCTTTGACATGCAAAACCCGGTCCGCCTGATATATAATATAGTATACGTATCTAGATTTTGACTTTGGTAACATTTCACCACGACTTTCAAACTCTGTGACATAAAAGGAAAAAAAAATACAGTAAGTCATGACGTTGGAAATTAACATTGACGTTGTCAAATCAATTAAAAGTCATAACGTTGTTATAACGTTTTGAACCTTATACATGCATATTTTAAATCTTTAAATGAATTTTATTTTTCAAAAGTTAAAAAAAAAATAAAAGGGCACATAATGTTCAATGTTTGAACCTTCTTTTTTGAAATATTTAGATGTTTATTAATAAATCTTAATAATAAAATTTTAATTACTGAAATGCCAAAGGCACTCTGTGAATATTCTTCTTTCTATTTTTCTCACTTGTTTGTCTTATAAGGAGAAAATGTATAAGTAGTTTTCCCTTTCAACCTCCTTCAATATTTTTTTTTCAGTTAGGTCATTACAAGTCTTTTATTTCTATATAGCGTCCGCATGCGCTTTGGGTGAATAGAGAAAAAAAATGAAAGTTTACATTTTTATACTTCCTACATTTCAATGGAACTGGTGTCATTTTGAATTAAAAAAGGTATTAAATTAGTATATTGAGGGGGTGAAAAATAGGAGAGATGGAGACATTTCACCATTATTGAAAATTGGTTTATCACGAAAATTCTAAAATCTTTTTACTATTTTTGGTGAAAGGGGGGGGGGGCTCTTATAATGCATACTTCGTTAAGTAGGGTATTTTTTGTGGAACGATATCATTTTGAGGTTTTCATATTTTTTCCTTTGGTACGTGAACAGATGATGATTAAGTGTAATAAATATAATTTGGGAAAAAATCTCCAACAAGCTCCGGGGTTGAATATCGGGGGTGAGGTGGGGTTGACTCCTGCATGTCCACGAGTACATGTGAGCTGGTACTACGGACCTGTATGAAAAAAGCCACGGCAATCGGCAATCCTCGGCTGACTCCGCTACGCTCCATTCAAACCTCGGATGTGATTGGTGGAGGAATACGCAACAGATCCTTACATTTCTCCGCCGGAAACTGCCTTATCACTCATTCCATATCTCGCTCTGCATAACGTTCTTCGAAAATGTTTCTTAATTTGTGCAATTCTTTATCGTAAACAGGTTTTGGTTACATCGTCATGTTAATAGGCTTTGAAAGCAAGAAGAAACTGTTGAGTGTGCCACAAAATAACCCCGATTTCAAATGTATGACATTTGAAAAAAATTCAAATAAGATCACATGACTGAATCGGCAAGATGGTAATATTGACGTCCGAGGTTATGTGCGAAAAAGTCATCCGAGGAATATGAAGCCACGGCGATAATACCTGACGTACCTCAACAAACGCATTGCGTAAAATGACGTTTTTCGTACCTGTGACAAAATGGCTACACTTTTATTGATGCTTGCATTTAATTCATGTAGACCATTACTGTAAAGATTGTGCAATTTGTAAATCCAGCATTAAATGTTCTTTCAAGCTCCATACATGATTGCTTTATATCTTACATTATTTTATATATTTTTGATATGTTACTGAGACATATTTAGTAACAATACAGTGACTCGTGCGTTCATAACAAAATGGCTACACTTAAGAAAGCCTTCCTAATATTTACGTTGGAAAAGTAATATAAAATGTATCAATTAAATTAATCTAAGAAATATATGTACTAAAAGATTATTCACCAAAATTAATATTTGTCTGATTTATGTCTGGTACACATCTCCATTTCGGCTAATGTCAGTGTAAGGAAACGATTTCTTCTGTTAGACATTTTAATTACGCACTGAACAACACTAAATTCATGAAATTGATACAATAATTTAAAAACTCAACAATATCTTAAAGAATGCATATATTTTATTGTACCCCCTAAATTTTTTAATTCATAAAAATAATAAGTGCATTTTTCCAACCTTTTAGTTGCGCGAACAATAATTGATGTAAAAGGTTATACGTTAAATGAGCTCTTTGACATGTTAAAATAATTTTAAATTATTTAAAAGAATATATAAGAATTAGTATTACTTGAGATAACATAAATGATTTTATTTTTAACATAAATATCATCCAAACGCCAATTTCTCCGTGACATAAAGAGTTAAAAAAAAATACAGTAAGTCATGCAAGACTATTTTATTTCTAGACTCCAAAAAATATTGATTGATTTTATCATATAATTATATTTTACAATGTACTTGAAAATAGAATAACGAAATTTCAAAATTTCAACTATTCTGAATTTTTCCTGCCCGCCTTATTAAAATTCTGTCTAAAGCCGCCAAATTTTATGGAACCGGTGGTAGCTGGTTTGGATAAATTATACTATATCTAATTTAGTTGGCCTTCGCTAAATTAATTCATTTTTTTAAGCAAGCGCAACACATTCATGGGATCAGTTTGACATGGAATGCAGAGAACACCCACCAAGGCAAAGTGATGGGCCTTACAACACTGTATGATGCACAGTGTGTATGCTTAGAAATTAAGCTATAGCTGTTTCTTTATCAGTACTTATGTAGGATTGCCCTGGATGGCCCCATTCGCCAACTCGACCAACTGTCATATATAAAAATTTGAATTCCTAAATTAAAAAATTGTATATATGACGAATTTTAATGTAACAATTCAAATTTTTATAGAGGACACCTCGTTCAATTCACACTTTTCAGCACACTCTAAGATATTTTAAAGTTATAACCGTAAATAATCATACGCATTTGTTTGTTTTTTTTTAATTTGTAAAAAATATAAAAATCTTGAAATTTTACAAAATATATAAATGTGTATATATGATTAGTTAACATAGAACAAAAAGCTGCGCGAAAAGGGAGCACAATATAAAAGAATAAAATATACAATAACAAAAAAGTTGATAACACGCAGCTCCTATTAAACAAAAGAGCGTGTAAGGCACAGTGTATTGTTTTGGGTTACATATAGCATTTCACGTAAAAGCAGTCTGTACAATCAGGCAGTGCATGGTGTCTTCCAGAAATGGTCCGTACGAATAAACAGAATTATAACAATTTCAGAGAAATCGGAATAAATTTTGTATTTTTATGACGTGTCTTTTGTGTCTCTTCAATAGTGGCGAACTTGATGAGACGATACTATCCAGTTTCTTGTTACATAATCACAATATTTTGTTCTTTTTAGCGGAAGTCGTCTATTGTGACGGGGGCACCCCATTATACACGGGTCTGATTGGGGAGATAGAGGCACATTTAAATCTATCGTTTCTCTGTTATTCCACCGTGTCACCCGTGATGTACATTTAGGAACACATTTCTGAGCGGCCTTTTAAAGCGGTTCCATCTCGGTCCTCTTTTATCACTTTGTACAAATCTGTACAGTAAGTTAATTAGACCTTGTCTCTTTTTTTGATCTAATTTTCTGTTAATTTTTCACTTTTTCTCCAGCAGCTCCTGCAGTGCCCCTATGTAACTCTGCGCCATCTGCAGTGTTTCGTACTTGGATAGTTTCTGGTCTTCTCCCGCCGACGGAATCACCTCTCGCAGACGATCGAACGCTACATTCAGACTCTCCATCCGCCGTCTTTCTCTGGCGTTTGCCGCTAGTCGTCTGCGCTTCAGCACGTCTTTACTTGGAGCAACTGAAGTTCGCTTTTTAGTTTTGGTAGAACTTTTCAATGACACTTTTTCGCTGTTTAGAGAGTAGATATGACTAGCGTGGAATCCGGAATCACCGGGGAATAAGAAATGGTTTGGTCGCACCAGTCCGTGACGTGGTGTGAGAGGGGTGTCGGGTGTGGAGAGGGGCGTGTCGCTATCACTGGGGATATAAGAAGAGGGGGTTCCAAAACCGTCCGTATCCATGGTATCTGTTGGGAGACTGCTGTTTAAATCCTGGATAGAGAAAGTCAAGGCACACGGCATCCCTGTCTTCTGCGCGGAGTCTGTGTCGATAGCAGCACGCATCACAGACGACGGTAACATGAACGAATCCATCCTGACCAGTTCCTGCATCATATTTGTATAGCGTCAATATCTCTTCTTCGTTAAGTTCTCTAAATTATTAATTTCTATCGTAAAATAGTTTTCCAGCTGAATTGTTTCAGTGGCCCTTTTCTTGAGTTACACATGGGGTTTTAATTTCATTTCGACATCCCCTGTAGTTTTGTCGATATTTAACTTAGTACGCTGGTTATGGGGACCACACTGCGATGGAATTGTACAAAATAAGACAGCTGGGGAATGGAAATGCAGTTAACTATTACTATATCTCCCCCTATTTATACTCTACCTGAAGAAATTGGATAAAAATTTTAATCGACCAATCAACTGGTCGGTTGTCGAGTCATCTATATTTCAGCAGTCACGGTCCACTGGGTGATTCTCGGTGCGTACCCATCGACACGCCCATAAACAATGCCATCCATATTTAGTTGACAATCTCTGTATCTCAGTTCAAGAGAACTGTGCATTTCTTTGAATTTTTGTTTATTGTTCCCGGAAACACGAAGAGGTTCTCAATGCGATAAAGTGTCTGCACCCTTTGGTGGCGGAGCTTTGGGTCCTATAGCTGCGCATTTTCCAATAATTGCAATTATTTATGTGCATTTGCGTCCTGAAATGATTTACTCCCGAATACCAACACAGATCGTCGCTGTGCATACCTGCAAATTCATGCAAATAAATGAACCCGAGTGCAGACGAGGAGCAACCGTACACTGCATGTCGACCGGGCTTTACAGTTGCAATGATATTGCAGAATAAAATAATTATCACATGAAAACGTAAGATCAGCTTTTTTCTCTCAATTTCTAGAGAAGTAACTTTGTATAAAAATAAGTGCTATCAGAATACCTTTGGCGAGAGATTGGACATTTAGCCGGCAAAACAAGATCTGTTATGCGTTTAAAAGATATATTATCTCTTCGAAAAAATGTTTTACAGATAATCTGTTCTCATTTCTGATTGATTAGTCTCTGGACTGAATGTATCAGTTAACCAGAGTATACCGCCTTTATGTCAGAGATATCCACTGATACATATCAATAAGTAAAATCTCGATTTCCTTTTATTCCAGATTTGTTCTGTTTTAGCATTGAGGTACACGTGTGAGCGCCGCACCGCGCCACTGCATTATCAACTGATCAAGCGGAGATATGTAAATAAAGCTTTTCATTGACTATCCATAGTCCCCACGGTGACGATAAAGGACTTCTTTTTCTTCCACGAATTTTATTTTGTAAATGAGATAAAAACTGCAACGAACAGGAATTGAAAGATAATCTTACCGGGATTAGGAAATCTGTGCGTCTCGTCAAAGAGAGAGAGTGCAGGGGTACGCTTTTCCCAAGGTATTCCGAGATTGGATTGGATAAAAAATTGGCCATTCAATAAAATTGTGCTAGGTCACATCTCATGATAAAAAAGCTGAAACAAATAGGTCAATTCTACGGCATTTTGAATAGAAAATAAACAAAATCATTTTAAAAATCGGTAATTTTACCTGGTTCGTCATTTTTCTTTCTATATTACAATCCCTTTAATTCGTCGTATCACATGACTTTTCTCTCGTTATTTTGAGAATCTGATTACTTTTTTTTATCTTCAAATTTGTAATACTTTTATTTTTTTAAGCACTCATCTGGAAAATTGAGGCATTAATTTTCTTTCTTTTTTTTTTGAAAATAATTTTCAAATATTTTTTATGCCCTATAGTTTAGCTGAGAATCATCGTGCTTCAAGTTGTGTTTGCTCAATTTAATCATTTTTTTTATTTATTGTATCTGGGAATGAAAGCTATTATGTATGATAAATGCCTCAAATATAATGGCCCCCTTCAATGAATATCTTAATTTTACTTTATATATAGATTTACTTTTCACAGCTATATATCTAACATTTATTGGCCATTTTCAATTTGATAAAAATTCAATTAATTAAGAAATATGATATAAAAAATTTCCCTCAATTTTAATATATTTTGTATAAAACTGCTTTTTTTTCTTCCCGAAAATACTATGCGCAGACTTGAACAAACTTTATATTTCTACCAAAGATATATATATACAAGAGTTATTACTGACAGAAAAATAATGCGTATTGTACAGGTTTAGATTGTACAGTGCGCTCTGTTTTCCATAAGAAAAAGATCAGGAAAAAGGCATACCTTTTGCTTCTTTTGGTTAGATACCAAAAAATGGCATCATTTCTTTCTTTTTTTTTTTTAGGTCAGTGGGTCATATAAATGTGAAAAAAAATTATTGGAAATATTTACAATATAATCTCTTCTTCAAAATATATATTATTGAAATTTATCTGAATATATCGTTCTAAAATACAATGTATTGACTTTTCATGGCCAAAATTGGCTCTTATCATTATATAGTCCTTTCCGACCAAAACAAAGAACAAGCACTGAAATATAAGAAATTTTTTATCACGTTTTACTCTTTTTTTTACATGTAAATCCACAATATTTGAATTTGAATTTTTAAAAAAAAAATCTTGTAAGGAAAACCTCTATGAACATCTAAACAGTTTCAAGAAGTTGTGTGATTAATTTTCCCTCTGATCTTTTAAAATGTTGTTACATTTGATGAATTATGTTGCCTTTTGTGCCAGTGGGAATGAAGGGAGAGGTAAGATGAGGTGCATGCTAAATTTCTCAATTTAACTTAAAATTATTTAAATAAAAGCTTAAAATGCTCCAAACCAAAATAATGTATGCGCGATATATTGCGCAAGGGGAACCTTAGCCACAAAAATCTATCTACCAGTAAAACTACATTTTTTGCTGCACCGTACAAGCTGCAGAAACTCGGGGTCTTTTTTTTGTAAGTACAGAAGTTATTCGTCACTGTACAGTACACCGAAGATCACAGCTGGGACTCGGCAAACGCGGGAAAAAGAACCCCTCATTAGTCACCTGTTACCCGCCCCAGCAAAAAAAAAAATCCTCATCAAAGTTTAATATCAACATGAAATATTTACTTTACTTTTGATATTAATTTTATGTTTATAAATCAAAACTTAAAACAATCTCTCTCAGACTCTGTCTCTTTCTTTCTCTCTACTCCCTTTCTCTGCTTCTCTCTCTCTCTATCCCCTCTCTCTGCCTATCTCTCGACACGAGAGTATGACTGGAACTCTCGTGCCCCCTATCACCTGTTTTTAAGCCTCTTTTTGTACAGCTGTAAAAGAGCGGTTGGTGTTGACATACAAAGTAAGAGGTGTTTAGAGATAACAAAGTAAGACGGGGAAATCCTTCACCCGGATCCATCCCGCTGCTGGGGTCCCCAGTTCTTCTTTTAAAATCTCTCTGCATACAAAACTTCGTCCCCGTCAAATTAATCTTATGTTAATGGAGAAAAAAGAAAATCTACCGCATCTAAATCTTCTTACCTCTCAAACTTTATTCAACTTGGTAGGAGGGAGAAATTGTGTTTTATTTTTATCTGTGTCGCGTGCCGTACACGTGCCGTGGGCGATATCTTTGATTTGTCAACTCTAATGCTTATGTTCATATACGCAATTTTTGGCAACGTTTCAAGTTTACCTTGAACACAGCTAAAAAGAATCCTTTTCGCATGCTGTGGTATGTACAGAGATCTATTTGCGAGAGCTTACAAATATCTGAAGAAATGCACAGGCAAAGGTTATTTAGTGGCAGCTAAACGATGAAAGTAAAAAAATCGGTTATAACTTATAACCTTATTCCCAACTCCCACCTTGTATAGTTACTAGCAGTATATTAATTTTAAAAAGTATTAAGAAATAATGAAACTTTAATATGAGGGTTTTAACTTTTAGAGGAGCTGGGAAAAGAATAACAAAATATTGCAACAATATCAGTTATTGGTAGATTATTTATATTTCGCTTTTTGTTGCCAAGTCCACGTATTTAATTTTACTGGTCCGTGTTTCACATGGGTAGACAAATTGAAATCAGATGTTGTGTACAAAGGAAAAAATTAGCTCCAATCAGATAGGTGGATTTTATTCAATGTCAATATATATATATATAAATTCAAACCTTTTTATGAAATAAAACTGAGTAAGTGCATTTTTTAAGAAAAACAATAAACTCTCATTAGTCACACTCTCATTTAAAAGTCTACATTTCATTTTATATTTATATATTTTGTAGGCAATGAAGGACAATGTATTGTTTAAAATGAAAGTATTTTTATTACAATATGTTGGAAAACCAATGACAATAATTTTACATGACTCATCTATGTTTAAAAGCAACCTTATTTTACACCAAATGCACTGTAAAAAATAAGTGTTTTATAAATAAACACCATATTGCAACAGATAATAAACACTTCAACGCGTTTAGAATTTAAACACCTCACGAAGTGTTTAAGAAATAAACACGTTAGAATGTTTAAATTCTAAACACATGAGGTTTAATATTCAACACTTCAAAAACACAAAATGTTTAAAGATTAAACACTGAATAAACACTCAGAGTTTAATATACATAAACACCGTGAGTGTTTAAAATTTAAACATTTCATGTTTAATTTATAAACGTTTTCAACCTAAACATTTAAACACTTAAACATGTTTATTTGATGCAACAGATAATAATCACTTAAACATGTTTAAAGGTCAATTTTTAAACACTTCAACGTGTTTATTTTACAAAATAAATAAATACTTAAACGTGTTTATAAGTTTTAAACATTTTTATTTGAAACAAATATAAATCAGTACAAAACACACTGCGGTTGATAATGAATATGTTGTACATAAAGCTATTTTTAATTAATTGATTTAATGTTGACTGAGGGTTCAAACTTTATAAACAACTGAAACATTAAATAACACGTTTACCAACACATGGACACATTATTCAATTTTGGTTGAAAAAAATAGCATTCTCAAAATAAACTAGCATGAAGATGTAAAATCTGCATCTTTAAACTAAACTCCAATAAATTGGTGTCGGGAGGGCGGGGGAGGGTCTTTGAAATATGAAAAAAACATAATCGCTTAATAAAATGAATTGTTATACCTTTAAAAAATTGTTCCTATACAAATCTATACAGAAAAAAGTCTAACATTTTTAATGTTTTGCTGAGCGGGCATAAAAAAATCGATGTTGGACCGCTGAGTGAGATGTTGGACCGCTCAGAGAGATGTTGGACCGCTTACGTCACAGAATGGGCGGAGCTTAATCTCATTTACATTCTTTGGTTTTAAACAGTGACAGATCTAATGTTACATTACGGAATATAGTACAAAATACACGTGTGTCAAAAAAATATAAATAAAATGAAAGGTATAACAAAACATTTATTGACAGAATTCTCGGGCAAAATGACTTTTGTCAGACCCTCGAACCAAACTGTCTGTCTTCGGCCTAACGGCCTCAGGCAGACAGTTTGGTTCTTGGGTCCGACAAAACGCATGTTGCCCTCGAACTCAGTCAATAAATGTATAATGTTTTTCATCAGTAAAATTTAAAACATTTTTTAAAAAAAAGGTTAAATCATCCTTTACATCTTTTTTAATAAATAAAACAAGCAAAATGATGAATAAATATGATACAAAAAACTGAAAATGATATTTGTTGTCTTGGTACA